GGTTTCTCCGAAGGGCTCAGGCGACCCACCCTCCTCCTCCTCCTCCACCTCCTCCTCGTCCTCCTCCTCCTCGTCCTCCTCCTTCTCCTCCTCCTTCTCCTCCTCCTCCTCCTCCTCCTCCTCCTCCTCCTCCTCCTCCTCCCCTCACCCCCTCCACCTCCTCCTCCTCCTCCACCTCCTCCTCCTCCTCGGGTCGCCTACGGCCAAGGGGGAAACCGTGCAGCTGACCCCCCCCGTAACGGTTGCGCCCTGGCCCTGTCCAGTGCGCGATCCCAGGCAGCCCATGGCTTGTGGTGCACGCGGGCACTACGGGCGCCGCGGTGCACGCGGGCGTGCACTGTGGTGTACGCAGGCGTTGCGGTGTACACCGGCGTTGTGGCGCACGCAACTGTCGTTGCAGCAGCAGTTGTGGCGTACACAGGCTTAGTGGGTGTGCGCAAGCATTGTGGTGCACACATCACAAGCCCTGTGGTGTACAAAGGCGCCGTGATGTACACAATCGCTGTAGTGCGCAAAGTCGCTATGATGTAAGCGTGCATTGTGGGCTATGAAATACCCACGCATCTCTTCCTACTTCTTCCTCCTACCTCTTCAGTTTCGTCCTCCTCGTCGTCGTCCTTACGCATACAGGACGCGGACATTGTGGTGTACGCAAACATTGTGGTGCACACAGGCCTTGTGGTGCACACAGAGGTTGTGTTTCACATTCGCTGCGGGCTCAAAGTGTCCGAGCGTTCCTCGGGCCAGAAAACTCAATAATCACAATCATAACACATTTTGAGCATGATACGTTCGGCCCCCCAGCGATTTCTCAGACTTTGGCTCCGTTGGTGCCGTAGAGGTGTACATGCTGTTAGATGATGGCGTGCATCTTGGCAGTGCCCTTTGAAGAAGAGCGCGGGCCCTCAGATGTCGACCCCACCGTGGGAGTCCTTTTACTTCTCCTGCTCCTGGTTGTGCTGCTGTTCCTCCTGCTCTTCTGCGTGTTTTCCCTCGCCCGACGCCGCTCCGCGTGCCCCCCAAGCCGCGCGGTGTTCAAGGGTGCCGTGGTGCACGCAGTTGCCATGACGTGCACAGTCGCTATGGCGTACACAGGTACACGGGCGTTGTTGACCAAAATATCCGAGCGCTCCTTGGGCCAGAAAAAACAAGTAATTACAATCAAATCACACATTGGGCTCCGTCGGTCCCTTCAGGTGTGCACAAGCTTTGTCGTGTACGCAGGCACTGTGGTGCACAGGTGGTGCTGAAATAGCAGCTGTGGTGTACACAGGCGCCGTGGTGTGCACAAACAGTGTGATGTGCAAAGGCGCTGTGGTGCACACGTTTCTTATGCTGAATACAGTCGCCGTTGTGCGCACTCGTGCCATTTCTGAAGCAGTTCGTGTGCACAAAGGCATTGTGGTGTACAGAGCCCGTATTGTGTGCACAGGCACTGTGGTCTTGGACGACGACGACTGCGTGTGCAAAGTCCGAGCCTTAAATTAGTCATCAACCTCGCCCTTTTCTTGGTATGATCAACCGAAGAACTTCTTTTCTGTCCGCTTCTGCTCCTCGGCGCGCCGCTCGCGCTCCCCTCCCGCTCTCATCCTTCGGCCCCCTTTTCTATCCTTAGCCACTCCCTGCCCCCATTATCCCTCATTCGGTTGGCCCCAGAGGTGGCCCTCGAGGCTTTGGTATCAGACCTCCCCTCCTCTCTTCTTCGTCCTCCCTCCCCTGCGTGACTGTCCAGACCGTTGCGGCACATGCAGGAAAAAACACACCAAAAACATTACACTTGAGAAAACCCCAATCAGTGGATGACTTGAAAATTGATACTATGGATCTTGAGATCAATTGTGAGAACGATAATGAGATCGATAGTGGAATCGATAGCGAGGACGATTGTAAGGTCGAACGTGAGACCGAGAGTGAATTCGATTCAATGAGATCGATCGCGAGATCGCTCATGCGATGTCTAGTGAGATCGCTTGTGAGTTTGGTAGTGAGATCGATTGTGAGATCGATGGTGAGATCGATCGAGAAGTCGGTAATGAGATCGATGGTGAGACCGATCGATAAGAAGATCGACCAGGAGCCTGGGAACCCGGGAACCTCGCCGCCCTCCGATCGGCCGGGAACCCGGAACTGGGAACCCGGGAACCCGGAACCGGGAACCCGGGAACCCGGGAACCCAGCCTGCCACCAAAATCGAAGGGGGAACTTTCGCCAAATCCTTCAACTTCCGCTAGGACCCCTTCAGTGCAAGCACTGATTGGGGAAAAACACAACACAACACAACACAACAAAACAGACAAAAAACACAAATAAGCACAAACAATACCGGACCGAACATAAAAACACACGCACACACAAACAAAAAACACAAAAACCACACACGCACACAAACATGAGTAAATTATGGCTCTGACTTTGCACGACGACGACGTAGGCGGCGCGCCTCGGGGGTGCGCGCCGCGGCCCCCGTTGCCGTTACCCACTCCCCGCCCCCCCCTCCAAGGTAACATGTGGTATCCCCTCAGGAATAAGAAATTGTTTCATGATTCGGTGCATGACAGGAGCTCCTCGAGCCCGCTGGTGCTCTCACAAGGCCGAATGCCACGGTTTGCATGAGGTCAGGATCGTCGCATGGTGGGCGCCCCTGGAGCCCACCTGTGTCATCATCGTCCCCCGCTGCTCTCTCTGCTTTGCCGAATGCCACGCTTTGCGGACGGGCAGGATCGACGCATGGCGGGTGTTCCTCGAGCCCACCTGTGTCATCATCGCCCGCCATTGCTTTGCCGAGTGCCACGTTTTGTTGGTGGTGCGGATCGTCGCGTGCTGGGTGCGGCTTGAGACGACGCGTGGCCCCGGCGCCGCCAAGTCGCCACATGCTTAGTGGGACCCGCCTGTGGCATGGGCTTGCAGACGGACCCGCCTGTGGCCAGGCTTCTTTCCCATCTGGTCCCTACCATCATCCTGCCAATGCCAGGGCCCAGATTGCCTGGACGCGCGCGCTCACTGCTTCTGCCGCGCTGCGACGCAAAACTGTTTACCCGTGTCTTCGTCCGCCCCTTCAACGAATTGCGCAGCGCGCCGCCCTTCGGGAACGCCCGACACACCCGCACGCACGCACGCGCACACGCACGCACGCACGCACGCACGCACACGCACGCACGCACGCACGCACGCACGCACACATTTTTTTGATCCGCGGGTCGAGAGCGCACCTCTTCCGGTCGAAGCTAAGCGGGCCGCGCACAGCTTTAATTAATAGAGGGGGGAAGGCAGAAGGAGGGGCCTCACGTCAAGGCCAAGAGAGGGCAAAGCCCGGAACCAGGCGGTGCCGAAGACGATGTGTTTGCAAAGGAACGCCTTGTACAGGAACCCGGTGGCGAAGTACTGGAAGAAACAAAATGCTGCGGACGCACGCACACACACATACACACATTTACACACACACACGCACGCACGCACGCACGCACACACACACACACACACACACGCACACACGCGCACACGCACGCATGCACGCACGCACGCATACACGCACGCACTCACGCACACGCACACGCACACACGCACACACGCACACACGCACACACGCACACACGCACACAGACACACGCGCACACACACGCACACACGCACACACGCACACACGCACACACGAACACAACACACGCACGCACACACGCACACACGCACATGTACAACGCACACACGCGACGCACACGACACACGCAACAAGCACACGCACACACACACACACACACACACACACACACACACACACACACACACGCACACGCACACGCACGCGCACGCGCACGCGCACGCGCACCCGCACACGCGCGCGCACGCGCGCGCACAGGCACAGGCACAGGCACACGCACACGCACACGCACACGCACACGCACACGCACACGCACACACACATACACACGCACATACACATGCATCAACGCACGTACGCACGCACGCACGCACACACGCACACACGCACACGCAGCCACGCACGCTCGCACGCACGTGCGTACGCCCGCCCGCCCGCCCGCCC